GATGATCTCCCAAAACAACAGCCTAGTAAAAATACCGCGATGCTTCCGGAAAAAATAGTTCTAGTGGTACTCAACATTCTTTTTTATTAAAATCAGTCGACTCCACATACCTGTAAGATTTTAATATCTGTTATATGACTTCAGTTATAGTTGTCATCTAAAATTTCACAGAAATACAGTAGGAATTGATAGACTAAAATGAACTACTAATCTGTAAATGAACCTTCAGAAACTAGTCATAAGATAGTCAAAAATCACTATCACGCTCTACTCCTCACTATTCACAGAATTTCATACATCGAGGTGCAAAGTTACAATTTCGCTAAATAATTCAAGATTAGAATGAATTGTAGATATGAGTTTTACGAGGTTTTGAAACATGGATTAACTGGTTAATAACAATAAGAATCATGATATCGTAATCAGTTTTTACTTGAATATTTAACTGCTTGGTAAATAAAGCTTAATCTCAAACTTTAATTCTTCCAGCACATATTTTAATCTTCTTTTGATAACAAACTACTTGAGATGGAACAAAAATAAGCATAATAATAATGACCTAGTATGTGTCAATGCTATTGATAATTACTTTTTTATGTACATAATAAACATAACTAAGTTGGTGACTGAACTGAGAAATATTTTCACAAGAAAAGCAAGCAAACAAACGGAAAACACTTCATGAAACATTAGAAAGTGTAGTGAAAAGTTGCAACTGAACGATTTGTTTGATGATCAGTCATATAGTGTCACGAATTAAATATGATTGGCAAAATGATAACTTAATCACCCAATATTAATGTCCTTCTTCAAAAACGTTTTACGGTCAATCACGGAGTGAAAGTCGAAAATAAACGTTGCCAAAAAGATATGAATTCAAAAGGTCCACGGTTTCCACTCAATTGCCTCCTACCGCCCAAAATTACAACATAATATACGCGATGTCTAGTAACTTCATCAAAAGAGTGCGATAACCACTAACGTACTAAGTAAACATGACAATGGTCACTATTCACTTCTGCATGAGGTCTGTCGCGTCCCGAATAGTTTAGCAGTAATGCCGAGGGTGGTGAGAGTCATCCCTCCCTCTCGAAATGCTCTCACGAGGCCACGTGTATATAGCCACTGCCAGGGAAGTCCGACTCTACCTTCTCGTGGGGGGGTTCCTCACGAAATTGAGAGGATGAAAAGCGAATGCCTGTGTTTTAACCGGGATGGTGGACACGGAGGATCCACCTAGGGGAGTTAGATAACTCTGATTCCAAACCAATGATGCACATGGGCTCCAGTATCCTGAGGGAACAAATGGCGTATGAACTAATTATTGGTCACCTGCTACCATGGGACTGCACCTCTTGATGTTGCTCCACTGCCTTGTGGATCACACCTTTGGGCCGAAGGCTCCAGGTGTGGCCCCGTGTGAAAACCACTTTCTTCGGCCTAGACACCCGGCAGTATCTCAGCCCATACAAAAATCAAGTGACTTGTGTGGCGCATATGTAATCGGTGCCCTTTTGTACCAATATTTCTGTGTTCAAGCAAATAAATAAAATAAATAATTCAGAACGTGAAGCCGAGCGATGTAGATTCGAATCCTCCAGGGAATTTTATTTTCTTAAAGTTTAAAGGTATACCTTGCTAACGAATACCAAATAGCAAGAAGCTTAGATACAAGGTTTCCAAGTCATATATTTATCGCATTCCCAAACATTTATATATACTCATAGATTTCAATCGATAGATGCGAAAAATTAGCTAAATAAATTTAGAATGGGATTATCAAATCAATTAGGAACAGAGAAAATAAATATAAGCGTATGACCAACAAGTAAACGTAATAAATAAAGTGTAATGAATAATAAGCACAGAAAATAATCGAATAACCATGTGGCTAAATTATATAAAGCGTAATTGATTATTAATCACAGTATTACAAGATTATAATAATTAGTCGACGACCGAATAGAATTGTGCCAATTAAAGAGACTTCAATCCAATCACTACTGAAATATGTACAGTACATAAAATTGCTGATTCTAATCTATTTGTTGAGTTGATGGATAGATTATAACTGATATACATAATTCTGACCAATAATACGTACATACTTGCAGCGAAAATGATTCAACAACCTCATAACCAAGGGTCGAAACGATAATTTAATTAGAAATGAAACTTCGATCATAGCAGGAACTGTACAGTGAACGTCTACATTACCGTCTGCATATACCACAGAATAGGCCATCGAACAGGTTACAAATTTGCTTACAATTATATTCATTTTCCTTTCGTGTACATATCCAGTTTACTTAGGAAAATAATCTCATATATATATATATATATCCAGAAATTTGACGAGGTTATTTATTCATTTGAACAAACCTCTATGAATTCGCATTGCATATTCTACGTGACATCCCAAACACTTCATGAGAATATTAGTAAATTTAATTACTGATTTGTAAAAAAATTTTCTCCGACTTATCGAATAAGTATTAATTCTTAGATTAGGCATACTTGATAAGTAGAAATTTTTCGAGTAAATTGAAAAATATTCAATGCAATGAAACTACCATAAACAGTTTATACTGGTAAGCTAAAAACGTATTTCAGAGTATAATTGCGATTATATAATAAAAACCGGTATTTCATAATTGAATCCGTAGACAAAACTTAGATTTTATGTTCTCGAAGCAGTATTTATATAAATTATTTACAGGGTAGAAAAAGTAAAAGTGACCAGTGTGTCATACATAACACAATTTTTGAGATCTCATAAGATAACAAACGGGCTAACAATTTATTCGTAAACGAAAAGAAACCGCAACAATATACAATATTACACAAGTATTCACATAGTTAAGAGACTGACAGATCAACTACTGATATAATCGCAGGGAAACTACACTAATTGACCACCTAGATCTAAGAAAATTATCTGGTTGGTTCATCCTGCTTCCTAATCCTTAATGGTTTATGATTATTTTAAATTTTCCTCTATGTTCTTCCAGTACTGTTGTAGCTGACGCATTGTTGGTCTTAGTAGTTTACTGACGTATCTATAGTTACCGCACATTATATATAGATTACATGGTAGTCGTTTCCACCCCACCACGCATTTCTTATTTCATCAGCTAAGCGATTAACATGTATATTGAATGCTTCAGTCACATAATTTTCTATAATCTAATGGTTACTTCAGTACTGTATAATACTTCAACTAAGAAACAAAAGAATTTACCAGTATAGATAGTCGACTTCCTTCCTAATGACCAGCCGCAATATTATTCAGGATTTGATTAATACAGATGCATATTTTCTCCCTTATTCTGCTAATATGACGTCATTAAGAAATAATTATTAACTCTAATTTCAGAGCAAGATGTTAATGATAACCCGATTCCCGTTTTAAGGTATACATTAATTATGACGGTTTTTAATGGCTTAATTCAAAGAATCAATTATGAGTAGCAATTAAGTTTATTATGATTAAATACTTCCAGTACTGTTTTTTTTTCAAATATATTTCACTACCAATGAATTTAGGAATGTTGACTAATATTAATACCTGGAAAATGCCAATAAAGTTAACAAATGAAGTCTACTAATCTACATTAAGTACATAAACGTCAAAGTTGAATATTTTAAAACTTTGACTAGTTGGATGGGAACACTGACAGAACAAAAGGTTAACAGAAAAGGCCAAAAGAGGTGGTCTTACGTTTACAATTTTGTGCGCATTTACAATAGAATCACAGACAATGCAAAAATTATTTACAATGAATTATAGTGATAAACACAAAAAGGACTAGTCCATGATATTAAGTACAATTACCTTTCTACAGAATCTGGCCTAAAAATTTGTAGAATCCACGAATTTTGATTGACACGAAAACCAAAATAACGAAACATGAAGCCATGCAATAAAAGAATACTCCCATTACGGTAAAATGAAATTCAAACGCTTCAAAAAATTTCGAACCAATGACAGGCACAAATGCATAGCTGTTTAGGCACAAAACATTTGAATTTTTAAAAAAGCATGTCAAGTGAGTTTGGTCACTTTAGGAATGTATAATCTCATCGAAGCCATTGATGGTAGAAAATGTTGATACATAGTTCGCAAACAAAGAAGGTCAGAGTTGGAAGTGAAAATATGTGGCTAGTTAGGTTTTGACAAGTAACATCACCAGGAACGAAAATGTACTAAAAGAAGCCGATAAGACAAAAAGAGCGAATAAAAAATGTAAATACAGTGCAACAATAAGCACATTGAGGGGAACGACGAACGATGTGTACATACTGACAAAAGTGACTGAAAAATTCAAATTATGAACATACATTGACTACGTTACTTTAGCATAAATATTTACCAGTCATCACGAAATTAGAATATTAAGGTGAAAAGAGAAAAGAATCAGAAATCGAGAGTACCATTAAGACACAAAAATACAATCTATAAAACTGTACATGTTTCGCTTTAATACAAACATGGAAACATCACAAGTAGTCTTCGAAAATCACAGTTCAGGCCTACATACTTGAGAAAGCATGGCAGGGTGTTCACGTAAAAGTGTACAGTTACTGTTGTCAAAACAGCCTGAACTCAAACAGCAACACCAAGTGATAGTTGCGGGGATGAAAGAGCCTGGTAAAAAGAGGCTAACATAAAAAGAGAAGTAGAACAGAATCGAAGGCGTAAGTTATCGTTAGTTGCTTTGGCAGATAAATACTTGTTTGCAGATCTCGAAGAACAAAACGATTATCTCAAGCTAACTTGAGTAACATTAAAAAAACGAGAAACGAAAATATAATCGGTAGAAACATGAAAAATCTTGTACAGGAAGCAAATCAACTTGATAAAACATTTTCCGTATGTTTTTTGTAGCAGTGAGATCAGGATTTTGGCGGCCAAAATCGCCGTGGGGATAACTATTGCACTGACAATTCATGGGAAATTATAGAAAAACGCTCTTTGTTTGATAGCGATGAAGATTTGTTTACCGGGAAACCTGGGGGTTAAAAGGTGATTGGTACTCTGAATCAAAAGATGATACAGGTAATCCATGTTGAACACAAATATTTTCCCATAAGCCAGGTGGGACAAATGGTCGAATAGCAAAGAAGGCATGCTGATAACTTCGGATAAGCGTTAACTCTGAGTTTAATCGAGTTATTTCTGAACGTAAATTGACATTCTCAGCCAGAACAGTTGCCAATTCATCTCGAAAACTATTGACTAATGTCGAACGAATGGCCTCCTATAAATAGAGAAACAAAACTATTGCTTAACATACCAAGACAATCTTTATGAACACAACAGGGATCTTTGTTTCAGAAGGCACATGTCACAAAAAAGTCAAATTAATCAACAACAAATTTACTTGACCATATTAAATGCAGCCAACTGAAATTTAGTCCATCATAAGTAACATGGGACCTGGCACAAACGTGCATCAGCCTAGGTTGCTGAGATATATGAGTATAGTTAGACGAAATAAATAAAAGTAATTTTATAGTAATATCATTCATGAATGGAGAGAAATTAGGAATGGAGAATAAGGTTTGAATAAAAATAAAATCATAGGATAAAAAGTATGTGATAACACCGGAAATCAAGATGTAGATTAAGAACGGACGTATCTGCCTATGGCTGATGTCGTACTAAGAACTTTCTCTTTCGCCCTAAAGACAAATTAAATGTTTGTTTATCATCTCATTATCACAGCTATTTGATGCGAACTTGGACTTAGACTAACTGAATCTTGCGCTTAAATTTTCTATCTTTTACAAAGCAAAGTAACCCAAATGACATGAGTAATGTACCAATATTTTTTGCTGCATCCTAATCTACTCAAGTTTAGACGAGTATATTAGATGAAAGTTAGCTGTTTATTTTCCATGTATGTGAATTGTGCTTTAAAATTCAATCCCATTTCTGTGGTATTTCACTTAAAAATTAGTGATATAAAAACTCACCAGATTTCAATTGATTCCTGCAATTCTATTTAACGCTGTAACAGATGACATTTATATCCGAAGAGGAAAGTAGTATACACTGTATCTGAAGCGGTTTTGATGGAAACTGTATCGTGAATGGTATGAAAAGAAATCCATGGTGTTTTTACTGTGTATATTGCAACGTGGACTTTTTGAAGTGTTGCTTTGAATCCCAAGCTATTCCTACACCAGCTAGGATCATAAGTTGAGGTAGAAGGGGGCTCAGTAGAAACAATATGTCTCAGCCACCTCAATTGATGCAGATTCATAATCTCACCAAACGCTTTGCTATATTTACCTATACTCGACCTTTAACCCTATCACTATTCACAAATGGCGGACCACGCATACACAAATAATGCTCTAAAGATACGTGACCTACGAATGTCCTCGACTTTCAGTCATTTTTCATTGTCATGAAGTAAAATATAGCGAATCATTGAGCAGTATACACCTCATTTCGTTAACAGAGTGGTATAATTTTCTAAAAGCCAACCGAGCTTTCTGAATATATCCCAATATTTCATCAGACAACAATCCACCACGGTTAATGAGGTTTCCAACTTACCATACTAGCACGGATTCGAGCCTCGAGACGATCTGATAATAGCGAAGATTCTCTGGAATTTTGGTAGTATTCAACTTCCTCGGCAAAATCGCTAGGGAACTTTATACCTTTTGGTGATCCAGAACTGGTCACATTATTAACAGTTAAAGGAGCGCATGTCCTAATGTAAAAATATATGTAATAATAGCAATCGTTAAGGTAACAGTAATAGTCTAGGTAAATTTATACATAAAAGAAGTATAATCAAACGCTAAAAACTAATACACAATGGATACCAAAACGCTAGCAATAATAAACAAGGAAACTGTGAACTATAATCAATCATCTGACGAACATTGTTCTTAAAGCAACTGGAAGGAAGTAGTACATTACACTATATTAAGTCGGAATAACACTGGATAAAAAAAAAATTGTTTATCGATGAAAACTTGAACATACTTCGTTAGGATACATGAAAGAGAATTATTCATCATGTCAAGATTCCATGTTATTCTCATCTAGTTAGTCAACAACAGCAGATAACCTAGAACTTATGTGCATTGGTTAAAGTTGCCAGTGTACATTGGCACAATCAAATGAACTAACCAAACCATATCCTGGAGTGATAGAAATAGCAACAGTATCAGTTGCAGTGGAAAAGATTTGGCATAGAGAATATGATTCGATGAAATATGGGTTCGTGGAATAAAATTGAGATAATCTAGAAAATAAGGATGTGAAGACAGAGTGAGTGCATCTGCGTTCTTTTGGACAATTCTGAACCATATCACCCAAAAACTGTCTTCCCTTAAACTAAGAGATTGAAATTGCTTCATATCTTTCTTTCTACGAACTAATTCTTTCTTCCTGTACTATATCCTTATTGCGATCTTTCTTTTATATATAACCACCTATGAATTAACTTTTATGAATCCGGTGTTCATGTTGGTGTGTTAATGATTATTATAATTATTTGAACACATGAATATTGGTACAAGAGAGCGCCAATATATATGCGCCACACAAAACAATGAGAATTCGAAGAGAAGTAGAAAAGAAAAAAAACTAAGGAGCGCAAAAGGAAAAGAGAACAATGACGAAGAGATTGGAGTAAGGTAGTGTGGTAGTAACGAGGGAACGAAAAGGTACAATCAGAAGAAATCTTTCAGTTAAGGGAGACACAACCACTTTTTATGAAAAAAGTAAAAGAAGGTTACAGCAGGATCGCCACTGGCTTCTATTCTGAGCCATATCTGATAACGTCTCTAGCCACTGTGTAGCACCATCTCTCAGACACCAACCAGGGAGTCGTGAAGGACCAACACAAGCCAGTCCTTTGCAGCTTTCTTTCATACCACGACACCATGTCATGCACTGACCACCTCTCCACTTCTTCCAACCAGTCCCAGAGTCGGCAAATAATGCACGACGTGGAATTCTCTGGGACGACATTCGGAGAACATTTCCAAGCCACCGAAGTCGGTGTTTCAAGATGGTGACACCAATTGAATTATCATCTCTGTGCCCGAACACACGATGCCGAACCTCTAGCATTACTGACATGGTGTTGCCACTGAATGTCAGCAATCCTTCGGAGACAGCGATGATCGAACACAGAGAGTCGTCTAACGTCCTCAACTCGGAGAGACCAGGTTTCACAAGCATAGAGCAAAACTGCTCTCACCAACGGGTTGTAGATCCGGCCTTTTACAGCCAGACTAACATCACGAAGGCGCCAAACATCGCCCAGATTGGCATAAGCCGCTCTGGCTTTCACTATTCGTGCATTGATCTCATTACTCAGGCCCCCACCAGCACTTATGCAGCTACCTAGATACACGAACTTCTCGACTACTTCTATCTGCTCACCATCCAGGGTGAGTACAGGATTAGAATCCTGCCAGTCTTGTAGAAGTACTTTGCACTTCGAAGGTGCAAAGCACATACCATACCTACGGACACTGATTGCCAACTGATTAAGTGCGGATTGCATGCCTTGAGCATAATCGCACAGTAAGACAATACCGTCCGCATACTCAAGGTCGAGAAGTCTTTCTCCAGGCAACAGATCCACACCACTATTACTTGCATTCATCAGAGCTGTTTCCAGAATGTCATCGATGGCAAAGTTGAAGAGGAATGGTGAGATTGGGCAACCCTGCCTAACCCCACTGCTCGAATTGAACAATGGAGAGAGGTGGTTGTATGCCCTCACTCTGCCTGAGGTGTTTTTATATAGGGCTTTCAGGATGTTAATAAACTTCTCAGGCACACCCTTCTTCAATAGACAATCCCAGAGAACAGTCCTGTCCAACGAATCGAAGGCAGCCCTGATGTCAAGAAACACTACGATTGTTGGCCTGTGATAAGTATGACGGTGTTCTAACATTTGGCGGAGGGTGAAGATATGATCAATACATCCTCGACCAGAACGAAACCCAGCCTGCTCCTCGCGATTCAATCTTTCTCGGGTTTTGAACAACCTACGAAGTATGATGGAAGCCAATAGCTTGGACGCAATCGGATGTAGACTTATCCCCCGACGTGAACCCTTTTTAAAGATAGGGACAACTATCGACTCATTCCATGACGTTGGTACACTCTCTAGTTCCCAAACCTTTGTAAACAACGTCGTCGATTCCTTAGTCAAAAAGTCACCACCATCTTTAAAAAGAGCCGGAGGTAAGTCATCTGGACCAGGTGATTTGTAACGCTTCGAGTTGGAGTTCCTTGCGGACTTCCTCCTCATTCGGTGGATCAGTCGTCACCGGCCATGGAGAGCAGGACAGTCTGACCGATGTTGCCGGAGCAGCAGGCCAGTTGAACTGCCCTTCGAAAAATTCTGCCCATCGTCCAAGACGTCGATGGATGTTAGTGATTGGCATCCCATCATCCTCGCAGATTGTTTCGCTCACACCAGACTTCTTGCTGCCAGTGGCTCGGATGAGCTGGAAGAGCTTTCGGTAGTTACCAGATGCAGCTACTGCTTCCAGCTCATTAGCACGCTCCGACCACCAGGCTTCTCGGTCCTTACGCAAGCTTTGCCCAATTTCCTTACGTAACATCCTTCGTTTATGGTCAAACTCACGGTCACCCGGAGTAGACCGACGGGCTTCAATGAGTTGTAAGGAACCTGCAGAAACCCAGTGCTTATAAGCGGGACGTTTCGCGAAGCCGTAACTGACTGTACTCGCCATTTTCATGGCGTCATGCAATTGCAACCAATGCTCATCTATACTTTTCGGTGGAGTGGTAGCTAGCCTAGAGGCTAGCTCGGTTCGATACTTACTTGCAACAGAAGTTGCAACCAGATTGCTAACATCAATCTTTTGGTGGTGGTCACTTCGTTGGCCACTGAAAAGTAAGGTAAGATTGGCGCAGACCAAGGCATGGTCAGAGTCCAGATAGGTACTCCAAAAGGAGCGGCAGTCTTGTACACAACCACGCCAGCGGTAGCTGATCGCGATGTGATCAATCTGAGTCCAGGCTTGAGATGCAGAGGGAGGACGCCAGGTGGCACATCGGCGATGACTGTGGCGAAAGTTAGTGCTAGACAGAAACAGGTTGTGGTCTGTGCAAAGTTGCAGTAGACGGTCCCCGTTATCTGTTCTGCGACCAACGAGTCCCCATCGGCCACCTAAACGACTCTCTTCTGTGCCTAGACGCCCGACCTGGGCATTCAAGTCTCCGGCCAGTACTACAATATCTGTCGAACGCACTTTCTGGAGAAGAACAGATAACTGGTGGTAAAACTCATCCTTGATTGCATCCGGGCTGCAATCTGTCGGGGCATAGGCGGAGATGACGAAAAACATTGTTTCTCACGCCGATTTCTTCTCACTTTGATGGAACTCTAATCTAACAGCACATAACCGACTGTTAATGGAGATCCAGTTGATTAGTGCTGCCTCAGCTCTAGCGCTTAGTGCGACACCAACGCCAGCAAGACCAGACGAAGATGTCACAAGGTCCCCGGATAAGCGCACGTAAAACAAGCTTTTCGAAGCGACAGATGGAGATCGAATTTCCAGTACTTCGCCAGAGTCTTGAATACGGGTCTCGGATAGACAACAAACACCAATATTAAGACTTTCCAAAGACATAGCCAGCCCTATCTGTTGTCCGACCTGCATAAATGTGCGAACGTTGAAGGTAACCAGTTTGAATGGTGCACGTGGTTTCAGAAAAACTGCTTCAATCCTCGTATTCGGTGGTAACATACAATTTTCAACTGGACAGTGACTCGAGAGCGTTTAGATACAGTCGAATTTCCACCAAAGACGAGCCGCTGTATAAGTATAAAAGAGGTTGAATAATGTGGAAAATAATAATAATAATAATAATAATAATAATAATAATAATAATAATAATAATAATAATAATAATAATAATAACAATAATGACAATAATAGTAGCGATAATAATATTAGTATTAATAATGACAATAATTGTAATGATAATAATCTGAATCAATTGTTTGTTTTTCAAAGCGAGAAAGGTAATTTCCATAGGCATAAAGAGTTCATCAATTTGTGTGTGGGCTGTGATACTGCCCGGGTGCCCAAGCCGAAGCAGGTGGTTATCTTGTTGTGTTAATGAGGTGTGGGGCAACTTGGATCGATGCATATATGTCCCTGGTCCTACCTTGTAGCTAACTGACTGGCGTAGTAGTCAGTCAGCTACAAGGTAGAACCAGGGACATATATGCATCGATCCAAGTTGCCCCACACCTCATTAACACAACAAGATGAACACCGAATTCATAGTAGTCACTTCAATGGTAGTAATATATAAACGAAAGATTGTGTAAAAGAATATAGTACATGAAGAAAGAATTAGTTCGTAGAAAGAAAGATATAAAGCGACTTTAATCTCACGGTTTAAGGGAAGACAACAAGTGTGCACACCTGGGCCATTGTGATCGATTCTGAGTCATGTCACCCAGAGTGTCAAACCATTGGTTACGATAGTCACGCGGACCCCAACCAAGTAGTCTGCATCTACCAACATGGCCAAGACTAGAAGTTAGTGACTTCAAGCACTGATGCCAAGTTTTAGCTTGGTCGCCCCTAACTTTCTCCTACACCAGACATCCCCCGCGGAGGCAAGTGGCGGCTGAACATACGCAAAACACATGTTCCAGCCAACTCAGCTGAAGATTTATTACATCATCAATCTATTTGCCATCCTGACATGGTAACCAATGCCTAACCCAAGAATTGCTTACACTATGGTCCCAAAATAAACGAGCAATACTTCGAAGTTACCTGTGATCGAATACCAGTAATCTACGAACAACCTCTATTCTTAATGGCCATGTTTCACACCCACAAAGTAGAACGGATAAAACTTATGTGTGGTAAACTCGTTCTTTGGTTGGCGGACAGATATCTCGCCTACGCCGCAACTCAAACAAGTTGGCAAAAGTCGATTGAGCCTTCTGAATTCGTGCCGAAATCTCGTCAGGTACGGGAAAGTCAGTACTGATGAGACTCCCAAGGTTGGTGGGTCCAACTACTTCCTTCCGTATCATCAATTCAGGCGCTGACTCATGCTTATCCGGAACTAACATTTAGCATGTGGACAGAGAAAACCCCACCGCAAACATCCTTGCACTGCTGCTTAGGGTGGTCAAAAGATTGAATCTCGTCAGCTTTTTCACCAAATAAAACTATATCATGTGTATATTCTAAGTCAACAAGTGAATCTCCTGGTAGATCAATCTCTGAAACGTCAGACGATGAAAGTGTTATCTCTAGAAGCATGTCTATGACAAAGTTAAATAAAAGTGGGGAAAGCGGACAACCTTGACGAAAACCATTCGAAGTGACCACTTCCGATGACAATTCGCCATAAGCTCTAACTCGGCCAGTAGTGTAGAAAACCTGTACACTGCTAATGACTTCATTGATACGCCTTTCAATGACAGATTGCCTCAGAACCTCAGCCAAGGAAGTTAGGTGCTGTCTGTCAAGAAATATAACTATGGTTGGGAGTCGGTAGAAATGTCTGTGCTTCAGAACCTGGTAGAGGGGGGAACATTTGGTTGAAATATACAGGTTCAAGAGTGAAAATGGTCCGGTGTTCATGGTTTGCTCTTAAAGAGCTGATTTTAGACACAATATTAGACTGATTCCTTTGTAGTGACCGCATAAAGATTTTTGTCTTATAAAATAGAACGATAGGTGATCGAGTCTAGTTAGGCGGGATTAAATTCAGTTCCCGTATTCTAGTCGATATCTTAGTAAATCTAACTTTCAGAACTGGAATGTTTCCATCTTGGTGTTCCTCATTCTCGCCCTCGAGTAAGTATGGATTTTTCAATTTCACAAAGAATTGGAAGGCCAATGTTGATATCCCATCCAGACCGTTTGGTAACAGTAGATAACTGGAGAGTCGTGGGAGATGAGTTAGACTCGTCTCAAAAGTGTTGCACCCATAGTTCCAATGTTCTGTGCTGAAATTGGATTATTTCCCCTCTTACTAACACCCAAATTTTCAATACCGAGCCTTAGATAAATCTGAAAATTTGTCTATTGTTCCTCACAGCCGTTACCTTTTCCATTTCGTCTGGGTTCGCTACCCATCGTAACTAACGACCATCGCGTAGACCTTTCATCAGTTTATGTTTAGGTTGCTTTTGCTCCTCATCCTATTCCAAGCTTTATGGAATAGATTACAGAGCATCCCTCCCTTCAGTAGTTGTAACCGAAATACATTGATTTTCCCTGTTTTGGTTTAAGTAACTGGTAAACATCAATGCAATTTCACAACTGTTTGGATAACTAGTCAACCTACATAATGCTGCATTCCACTTTCATGACTGACTAATTTTTTTCTGGTTGTTCCAGACTTCCTCATCAATAAGCTGAGTCTCAAAGTCTTATTGATGTGACCTCTCTACCTCCATTAAGACAAACAGATGAGTGCTTTCACTAGAGCACAATCAGTCTGAATATGTGCTCCATAATGAGCGTCTTTTGAGTCTCTAGCGATAGCTGATGGTGATATAATCCATTTACACATATTTTAGGGCAGATTTGTGGGATCACCATGTTAGATAGTGCCTTTCCTTGTGCTTAAATTTGATCCTTTTAAGAATGACCAGTTGTCCACGTAAAATCGCACTAGACGATTTTATTTACACATGGTAATATCAAGGAATACAAATGAAAGAATAAATAGAAGAATAAAAGTTAACAACTATCTCTAAGTATAAAATAATGATATTGGCACGTTTATTTATTCGTATATATTTCAATTTATAAAAGGTGATATAGAGAATACATATATGTACAATGTTCTTTTTTTCAGCCTTAAAGATAATTCTAATCTCTGGCAGTTATTGTTGATCGTACAATAAGCATTATCTATATAGATTACAAATGATTTAGAGAAAATACATCTTCAATCATATCACATCATTTTAAAGTACTAATTTTAAGTAGTCTCTAGTAATTATGAAATGAGAATACTCAATCATATTTATTTATTTATTTATTTATTTGAACACATAGATAATGGTATAAGGAGGCACCAGATACATATGCGCCACACATATCTCACTTGATTTGTGTGAGGGCTGTGATATTTGCCCGTGTGCCCAGACCGAAGAAGGTGGTTTTCATACGATGCCACACCTGGAGCCTTCGACCTAAAGGTCTGATCCACAATGCAGTGGAGCATCGTAAGGAGATGCAGTCACATAGTAGCCGGTGCCCAACGATTGGTTCATACACCATTTGTTCCTTCAGGATACTAGAGCCTATGTGCACCATTAGTTTGGAACCAGGATTTTCCAACTCCCCTAGGAGAACTCTCCGTACCCACCAACCCGGTTAAAGCGTCGGACACTCGCTTTTCGTCCCCTCAATTTCGTAAACAACACCCCCCACAAGAAGGTAGCGAGTAGGACTTCCCTGGCAGAGGCTATATACGCGTGGTCATGTGAGAGTATTTCGAGAGGGAGAGCGGACTCTATCCACTCTCGGTCGTACCGGGGCATTTGAGGGACTAGACGGTACCGGTGTCTGTTCACTGAGCTGAGATAATGTAAGACGCACCCCATGTATCTGATTTAAACTGCCTACTTGAGTCTGCTAGTTATGACGTTTGAGAGTTTGACGTTTTGTAGGAGAGCGGAAAGCTTTCCAAAGAATGTCCTCTATGTAGCCCGAGCGACAGTCAGTGGGAGGGTAGGTAGAGACGAAGAAAAGACGATAGCATTCGTTCATATCTTTCCGCGTTTTCATCCCCCCTGTCAAGTCAGATGATGCACAAGAGAACCTGTCCTGCTGCATCCAAGCTCAGTGTTATATCAAAACCAGAGAGGTCACGAGAAGTAGCAGCCAAAACCCTAGATATATAGGAGGTATATCGTGGCGGTTTTCGATATCGACTAAGTAAGGTCAAATGATCACGCTTGGATTCTATATGATTGTTTTGTAGGCACAGCATACATCGAAACCTAAGGATTCTAGTCCTAGTTAGAGGAACCTGTTTTCTGACTCCAATATTTGAAAATTAAAAATTTCAACATGTAGTTTAGGGTGCAGTTTCAAGAAACCGGGGATAAAATTTTGTGAACTCGAATCTTTAGCATTGGTGGTGCTTGGTGACCGTCGTATTGAAAGGGCCGACAGTAGAAATAAAAATATTCAATGTCACACACAAAGTAGAACTTAGCACACAAATGAAACGGTCCAAGTTGCTATGTCACATTACTACAACGGTATAAAGTCATCAAAACAAATCCTAGAGTAGTAGAGGTAGTAACGGCGTCAGTAAAGGTAGAAAAGACCATTAGGAAGGTTGAGAAGTAACAGAGAGATTTGATAATGGACAAGAGGATTTCGAGTGCGATTAGATGATGAGAACAGTCGTAACTTTTCCTTGGGGACCTCAAAAGGAAAATGAGTTGGTAGTGGCTGTATACACCTCAGCGTGAGACTGCAGGGCTCAAAGAACAGCCCCTTGAGGCTGATCACGCATGATTTTTCTATGAAAACTTTTGATGTATCTTGATGCAACTGGAGACTGAAATCTGTGGGGTAAAGTGGCGTATGACATGTTTAAAGTTGACCTTTTCTAAACCCTTCCTTCCGTTTTGAGAAGGCAGAAGGGAAACACTTTATTGTCGCCACAATCTGGTACAGTCAGTTGCATGGCTCTGCCTCCGGACCTTGATTAGCGGCTTTAAGTTTTAACAGTATCCAATTGACCTGGTTGGCATGGCAGGACCTGAAACGATGTCTTCCATTCACTATAACTCCACTGAGATATCACGATAGACAATCCCGACCACCAAACCAAGGTAAACTAAAGATACTAAACCAGTGTTCTTTGAAGTATGACTCCTAACATTCAGTTAGTTTTTGGGTCAAAAAATAGGGGAAAACTTCAGCAAATATAAAGATTACCATGTATATAAAATGAAAAGGCACTAACCTTTTAACGATGTCAGAATTGTACAACCTATTATTTTTAATTCTATTCAAACGACTAATACACGAGCTGTCATCAAAGCTTTTTGAACGGCGACAAGATTGCGAGTAAGATCCACTATTTTTTAATGATTTCATAGAAAAACCACCCGAATTGTTAGATTTTGAAAAACTATATTCAGATTCGCATTTGTTGATCAGTTTTGCACCTTCCGTATTTATCAGACGTTGTACATTTGGATCTATAGATAATATGTTAGTACATTCGCGTCCCAGGTTGTTATCATCATCGGGTAGTAAGTCTAACAATCGGAGTCTAGATTTCGAAATTTCCGCTGAAATTTGTAATTCAAGTGGAATTTGATGAGGCCTGTTGGGAACGAAACTAGAATTTGGACTAACTGGAGGAGCATTATTTGAAATAGCTTCCGAAGTTTTACAGCAACAAATTTCATCCATATGCGAATTGCCACATTCAGAGGTACGGTTGGAAACCTTTTTGGAATCCGTATAGGTGGAATCTGATTTGGTAACAGTAGCCATATCTGAAGTTTTTAGAGGTGCGGTTGCTGAGTCATCATAATGTTGTTCCAACTCCGTAACAATTGACAGCTTATTTACGTAATTTGATATACCCATGTTTTGTCGACGCAAATACGCAGTAGCAGGGTCTGAAGCATATAGAGGAGTTGCAGAACTATCTGGAAATTCGATTTTGTCACCCTGAATTCTATTTTCTCTTTGCGATAAAGAGTCAACAGAGTCGGAATGTTCGTAATGGCCGTTGATTGCACAGGTTGACTGATCCTTACATTCCAATTCAATGACATCTTGCGAAGCGTTATCGCAATTCCCACAAGAATCATAAACTGGTTCAGAACTGCGTATGTGAATAGCCGTGAAAGGAACTTGACTATGAACACGCAGACCATTATTCCAAAAAGAGAAAAGATTAGTTCCTGCAAACCCATTACTCAAAACCATTGATTGAGCCTCTAATTCATTCTCCAGGGCATCTACTCTCTCATGAGCGTGTCTGGAATGTGGGTCGACAGAAGCACCGACATGTGCAGAGTCATGTGTGGCTCGTGGGAACACAGATAATTCTTTATCTTCTGTAAACAAAAATAAAAATGTCAACTGACTATTAGTGTAAAAGAAATTCAACCCGCTTCAGAAACACAGTCTCCTTGTGTCAGGAAGAATTACATATGCAACTCAGTAATCTTTACATTGCTAGCTAATCCAGTTAGACATATTGATGTAAGTCGTATAAATGCATTTATTTACTGACTAATTTATATCAACTACTGTCTAGTTCAATATATTCTAATTTGACTAATGGTCAGATATGAAATACAGTGTAATTATGATAGTTTTGAATCGATGGTGAAAGGTTGTTGGATTAGTTGTGGATTTGAGGTGGGTACATAAACAAATCAACTAAAATCTTACTTTCTTCCTTATGTCAGGCAACAGTAATCTTTGATCCCCTATACAATAGCAGGTAAATAGTCAGATCCACACTTATAGTAATTAACAGTTTTCAGAAGTTATAAAACGTAGATGTAACAGTATTTTATCAAGACAATACTTCCCGAAATTTACTACGAGAAAGCGACTAGTAACAAATAAGCAGAATCTGAAGTTATTTATTCTCTTATATGAAAATACTACTGTTTTAAAGAAAACAGAATCCCACCTTGAAACTGTTAAGGCTACCGAAAACTTTAAATGTAGTAGAATATGAATAATCGTTTCCGTTAATACCACAGTACAAGAGAATTCTCAGTATACCACTAATCTAAACTCCTACAAAGGTCCGTAAATAGTAAATTATGACACAATTTGATTATTATATCAACAAATATGATTTAACGAAACCGAATAATAAAAAATAGGCTTCAATCTGTGAATCGAATGGTTGGAAAGCAGTGTCATGACCAACTACTACAATCTTTACTATCAACCATATAAAGTAACCGGCATATTTATCAGTTTATTTCCTGCTTAACGGGAACTCGTTACACAGTAAACCTGAAGTAACATAGTATACTATGCATATAGATGAACTTATTGTTGAAACGTTGGTTAATAGCAGCGCGAAAATCAAGGGTAGCATTAGGCAAAGAAAGCAAGCTACGAGATACCCAGTGATGACAGATAATATAGGACAGCTGTTTGAAACTACGGTTAAAAGCAGTCAAGTCCTAATTTATTGACTGTGAGATCGATATCAAGCCTGCCCCAGCTCTTAGTAATGTTGAGCACTAAAACTAACTTGAACTGAGGGTGTAACCGACTTCCACAAGTCAGTTTTAACCCACACATTTAGTGTACCTCATAACCAGTTAGCTGGTGAATGAGTTAATGAAGTGGTAACCTGCGAATTGTGCTATATTCTACATTACGTATGACTGATCACCGCCAGTGATCATCGTGAATTCGGAAAGGTGTTTCAACTAAAAAATAAAAATCCCAAACGAACACCACCCGACGCAAATTTCTCACAAAACAACTCACTTCAGACTTTGACGAGACCATGTGCCTAACCACAACATTACATAATAAGAAAGACTTTCTAAGTTGTTGATACGAAAAGTGAAATGTGGCCATGTCAAAAACTATAACTATAGTCGAAAGCTGGTATGTTTAATTTCCAGGAATTAATGCAAATTTATGTATCACAAAGATATACTTAGAACCCTGAGCTAATTAGTGATAGTCTTCTGTAACACTGATTAAATAACCACATGTTCCTTGCCAAAAACATCTCAATATATGGAGAGATATCAGTATACACCTATACTAATGCAAAAATAAACATATTTGTCACATTGCTAAATAAGGTCTAATCCTTAAACTACCACAGAGAAGTCAATGCAAAATTTCCGGAATAATTTTTGCATGGCATTACATTTGTGAAAATCGCAGAGGTTGAACTGAGTTATTTCCAACACAGCCAGGAAATCATATTCGAGCCTCTTCAAATAAATAATTTTCAGAAAACACATCTTAAAGCACTGTCCAGAACGAAATTTTCATTCAGTTTTAACTTCAACAGGAATATATAGTCAGAAAAATGCGAATAAAGTAATCCTGGTGAGTTCGAAAATACAATCCCTTTCTGATAGGTTTATTACTTCAAATGATAGCTGGCACATAATTTAACACGGAAATAAGACGAATCCTAATCCTAAAATCCCAACAAATTTCAAGTTAGAAAGTAAAAAGTTTGTCTCTAAGAAGTTCATAGAAACCATTCATATAACAATGTAAGAAATAATTTTACCAAAACTCACCCGTACCTTTTGGTATGAAACATGACAAACACTTGATTCTTTTGTTTGCCAAAGTTGTAACAGCTTTCTCGCGTACAAACGACCTTTTTTGAAGCTCACTAACCCAGTCAGGGACAGCTTTTAAATGACAATCGTGTACAGAAAACCGACCATAGGACCACTGCTCTACGGTTTCATGTATCCGAGCCTTACGAAATCTTGAAGCCGGTTGCAGTGGTGGGAGTGACGCTGCAGCCATAGCAACGACGTCCGACGTCAAATGGTTGTTTACAGACACAGTCGACTCTGTGTTGCCCGATGATGTTGATGGGTGTAGGTGATGCAGACAAGTTATTGGTTGATTATAGCTACCGTGTCTGGAATGAGGAGATAGACCAATATGATATGTAGGATGCAGTACATTTGTTAAATTTACCCAGTTTGAAGTATTTGGAGGATCCGAATAATTATTATTGACCATATTGCATATTGACCTGGAGTACGACACGTCCGAATTTATTCGAAACCCGTGAGGGTCAGGTATTGTTCCTTGATCACGTAAGTGATACGCGATGTTTAGGTTTTGCTTCGAAGATGGACAGTAATCAACATGGAGCGGAGATTCTGACGATGACACTATATTCGATATGATAGGGTTTATTGAAACTAGGTCACATGGGTCACGAGAATATGCAGGGTAAATAGATTCACTCTGGAAAGGTTGGAGATATTCTGAATTCCTAGGATGTCCAAAAGTCGGAATTGTTATGGGAGATAAACAATGGTTTTGTTGGTAGCCATCTTGATACATAGATGTGAACTTTTTACCATAAACTTTGTCAGCAGAATCATATGGCCTGAAACGACCGTTCAATGGCTTTACAAATGACTGAGAGTTTGTAGATGGATGGAACTAGAAAGAAAAACAATATTGTCTAAGCTTTTTGACGACAGTTATTGTCCTTAAGATTAATAGCTGGTTTGGAGCCGATCTGATGAGTCATGACCTAACTCCATTTGTATTGAAACGAAAAAGGTATATATATATATATATATATATATATATATATATATGTTTAAACTAGTTGCTATGTGTAGTGAAGCTTAACTTCAAAAGAATCGGTCGCATAATGTCGGAATAAAATTATTTCTTGAGATTCCACTACCAGATGAATTGAACGAGAAGCATGGAATTTTACTGTTTTATTAATTTACATTACCATATTGCTTGTTTAACTACTGGTTGATGTACGGAAAAATGCCCTAAATATCATATACATTAAATTGAGGTTATTTCAGCTCGAACTGAAAAAATGACGATTTGAAATAGTGCGTTTAATGCATGCATATAACTTGGAATCTTAGCTTGAAATTATCCCGAGTGCTAAGAGGCCTTCAGGGTATAACATCTGTAAGTTATATCTAACTTGAAATAACTTACCTGGTTTATACCAAACTAACCTGATTTAACCTGATACATACCAAAAGCACATGTAAGCAGTAAAATACTAACTACTAAAAACCAGAACTTTATTGTTAACATTTTTCCACGTGTGACAGGTTTAGCTTCCAGATCAATTAACAAGAAACAACTTACTCGTTGTTCATCTCGTAGCAAGTTATTCAGTGACACTAGTATAGTAGATTCGCTTTAAAAGACATAAAGTAAGATATCCACATTTTTTCAAGATCGAAAATATTCTTTCCAGAAATCTCTCAGAAACATTAAAAATACAATATTACACGTGAACTAAAGGCATCTCTAATCAATATAGCTATTTGATAGTTAAACTGTTAAATACAAATACTGTTAGCAAGTGATTTACTTAAATAGACTTACCTGACAGATGTCCCCACCATTTGATGGTTTAACTGGGGTTGGAATTACTGAACATGAGCGAACGTCAAAACAGTTTTGGGATACTATCCTTGCATCTCTTATTCCATTTCCATCATCGTTAATTTCAATATCATCTTCTGGGTCATCAAAGTCTTCAAACTCCTCAGCTTCGATAGATCCGGATCCATAAACATCATGAATAGCTTCATCACACATAGTGTTCTGAGGCATTAAAACACCATCCACTTGACTGAAGTTCGAGAAAGGCAAAGTTTCACAAGTTTCTGTGCCATTCCTTTCAGATACATTGCTGTCTATACTTGTTGCACGTTGTTTAGTCCTTTTGACTTTTGATAAGTGTTTTACGCTAAGCAGCATAAAACCTGAACCTGTTTCTTTTGATGAACAGTTATCTGCTTAGATTAATATTATTCCTCGAAAACAGAACTTACGAGATTTACTATAAGCATTCCGGGTACCATTGTGAATATCTGGATTTGAAGGGTCCTTTGAGTGACAATTACTGACGTTGCCTTCCAAATCGCTCATGGATTAGGACTTTCAAATAAGTGTAACTGGATCAGTGAAACAGACCTCAGCTAATAAGTGCTTCGGTCAGTTTTGACTGATATTAGAAATAATGTGCTTTTTAGTGAATGATTCTTTGACAAAGAATGGATCTGAAACATATTTCCCTTGTGATAGATGACAAAACTGGAAACAGTGGACATGGAGAATCCAAACCAACCGCCGCTTCGATTTTGATTGTTGTACTCGAGTTTTATTAACTCTGGTATATTCAAACTAACTTTGAATTTATGAAAAAAGTGTCCGGTAGGTGATTCTGGAAGACTGCATAATTTTCAAATATTAATTATGATTTTTTACTGACGGTATCTATTTATACGATGGCTTGAGTCACAATAGTGTGAGGTTACAGATGCTTATTGATGGATAACCTAATATAAACCATATTTTATTTATTTATTTAATGGCTTTATTCAATGTTATAATTTGGTGCAATATAGAATTCTCAGCACACAGTAGTTCAACAACTTTTCTTACACACGAAAACCAGAAACAAAGACAAAAAAAAAGAAAAAAAAGGTTAAACAGACCGAAAAACTGTATAACTTTTTAAATTACAGACATGTTAAGAATGCAGGTTATTGACTAGGTTAACTCTAGCAACCTGTTCGTCACAGAGTATATTTGCTAGGTAAGGTATTATAGAACTTTTATACTTTTGGTTGCATGCATGGGTTTTTATGTAATTACGTCTCGTTCTACCAGCAGATATACAAGGAGAAAGATAAGAGTGAACGGGATGGTTAGTATCTGATAAAATAACAACTGCCACGAGTTTGCATGACTTTAGATGTCTATCCACAACCATATTAATTATGACCTTAAAAGATTCACCACACATCTTGCTAACTGCCTTCATCACTCTCCGCAATACAGCAAATTCATATCTCAAAAGCCCGGGAAAGAATAATGAAGAACAGTAAACAATAATAAGTAATATGCAAGAATTGACAAATTGTAAGAGTTAAAGACGAGTGATCTCAAGAGCATGCAATCTTTATGTGTAGTAACTCAGACGGAAAACCTTCTTCGATAACAATAAAACATGAGAAGAGCAAGCGAGATCAGAGGGAAAGGTAACACCAAGATAATTGACCTCCGACACTGTGTTTATCAAAGAGTCTCCGATGGTACAAGCATTTAGGATCTCAAAATGGTGTTTAGATGCCATTCATGTCTCATGCTGAAGTTAACAGCTTGACATTTAGACGGATTAGGTATAAGACCATTACCAACAGACCAACAATCAATACGAGACAAAAACTCTTTCATTTCTATGAGATGTAAGGAGGAAGAGATAGGCACACATACAGTGGGATCATCCGCATATTTCACAGAAGCGTTTTCTGTGGAAGATGACAGATCATGCAGAAAAAAGAGAAAAGAAGAGGTGAAAGAACAGCTCCTTGTGGTACACCTTCATGAGACGGTAGAGACTCTGAACACTTTCCTCCAAATACAGTGTACTGTTCCCATCCAAAGAGGTAGGAACATAGCCAGTTGGTTATCCAGCTGTCAGTGTTGATGCTGATTAACTTGTTAAGTAAACGTTGTCTTGGTATAGAATCAAAAGCTGAAGTATAGTCCAGAAAAGCGCATCGAACATACTTCTTACCCTTTTCTAAGTTGAACACTATATTGCGATGCAGAACAGCAACAGCATATAAGGTGCTTCTTTTGCATCTCTAAGCAAACTGATACGGATCAGTATGCTCTTTTATCGCAGGCTGAAGTGGAAGTATTAATAATATTTCGATGGTTTTGAGGAAGGGTGAAGTTATTGCAATAGGTCTAAATTTCACACTCTTATCACCAGATACTTTCTTGGGTACAGGAATTATCTTCATATTTCTCCACATTTTCGGTATGAGATTAGATGAGAAGGATCTGTTAAAGATAGCTGTGAACGGATAACATAAGACGTCAGCACACTTTTTAAAAAGGATGTTTGGGATACCATCAGGTCCTAAACATCGGGATGAATTAAGCGACTGGAGACATCTTCGTACATCAGTCTCAGTGAAAGTAGGAACACAGCTATTATTTAAACCTGTGAATAGAGGGAGCATCACATCAGATGACTGGCATACAAAATACTTATTTAAGTCACAAACATTCAGCTTGTTATCGCTCCTAATATGCCTATCACCTTTGAGTTCTTTGAAGAGTTTCCACATACTCGGAGAATTTTTTACAAGACAAGAATTTTTGAGTAAACCTAGAGTTGAGACGTCTAATCTCTAGGTTTATCATACCATTTAGCTTGCGAACTTAATTACAGTTTTTCTCCTTGTATATTGTTTCTTTCATCCTCCGTAGTCGTTTTAGTTGTGAAGATGTAAGTCGGTTAAAACTTACAAAAGTGGTTTCAGTGAGACAACAAATATCAGAACAGAATTTAAGGTAAAAAGTGATAACATCAGTAGTGTTTTCCAGTGAGTCATCTGTAAATAATTCCCAGTTAGTCATATGAAACATGTTTTTCAGATTTCGGATACTTTCTTCTGAGTAATTCCTATATTTGACTTTCTTGGTTTGATGTAACAGTATACTCGTCCCATGCCTTCTATATACTTTAGGTAGAACACGAATTATACAGTGATCCGAGCTAGACAATGGAGCACGTTTACGAGTCATATATATGCCAACATCATTAATGAAAACTAAGTCTAAATGAGCATCCAAAAGAGTAGGGAAATCTACTACATTTTGGTGACTTAATGACGTAAGGAAGCTACAGTCACATGAATTGAAATCATCACATACAACTGACAGTGAATCACTGAAGGCAGTAACAACGAACTCAGTGAATTTACCAGCGAAAGCAGATAGCGCAGATGATGTGCAATCTGGAGTCACGTAGATATTGGTAACATGAACATATTTGTATCTATTTATTTATGTTTTGGACGACATCTTAGAGTTAGACAGTCGATAAAGTCATTTGAAAACTTAAAACACACAAACGAAGATTGACACCAGTTTACGTTTACAAACGTAGCTACGCTGACGCCACACCTATTTTTATTGTTTGATCGATCGTGAAGATAAATTTTGAAATCACGTAATGATACTAGAAAGTCGTCCTGTAAATCACTTAACCAAGAATCTTGAATCGTGATGACACCACAATTACGATACATATTTTGACTTAGTAGGAATTGCCAATAGTCCACTTTGTTGATTAGTGATCGGCAGTTAGAATTTGGCAGCTCGGGAATCGACATACGATTAATGTTCATTCTCTTTAACGCATATAGCCAACCACCAACAATAAAACAGTCCCGGAAAAGTAAACCTCATGGCCCGAATTACCAGACCTAAGGCCGTACTTAAATTTGTGACCCCTAGGATCTGCTGACTTGAAACGACAGTTTCTTAGTGTTTTATTGTAATATACTGTTTTCACCCTCAACTCTACCTATCTTACTAGCTCACGTTTGTTATGTTAATCTCTCTGCACTAGATCTGAAAGTCACTTATTTCTGAGAAATGAGTGTCATCACCAAATCACTTCTCATGCTCATTTCCAATTTAGTTCATTTAGATCTGTGTTGTTTAAAGATGCACATTCCTTAGTGCAGAGCTTATAGAGTACACCTGACAAATAACATACTTATTCCTACTTCGTAGAACACTTGGTGGCGTCTCACTGATATTTATAGAGTTTGATTTCGAAAACAAAAATTTGGTAAATATTATGACGTCGATATCCTCAGGTCGTTTGTAATTAAAAAAAGGGTTGGTTGTTAAAAATACATCTATCTTCTGTCATGAAGACTGTGAGGCACTCGTTTGTTAAAGAATGTTCATATACAAGGGTACTAACTACCTCACGAATAGAACAAATAACTAGACGTTAGAGAACTGAAGTTCAGGTTTCTCCCCAAAAATCAGTCTGTGGGCACCGTCTGTTTAATCTTGAAGGTACTTCTTCAACCTGCGTTCAAATCATACAAATTCTGATTCTTTATAAGAATTTACCTCATCTGTGTACCTTATTCTGGCGGCAAATCTCATCATGCGAGGATAAATAAGCTAGTTGCACGAATGTATAATGACTTGAATAAATGGCTTATGATTTGATCGATATTGGAACCTTTCACCATCAAATATCGAGTAGCTTACGAAGGGCACGGAATATTGTACCTCCACACTGTTTATTTAGGAAGCGTGAGGAGTAAAAGTACACTGAAATCATGTACGTTAGATGCAAATAAAAACACTTCATTTCTTGAAAGTCAGTCTATAAACGGGCTGTTATTAGTTTCATCGGTCATATCGATCATATTATATGATTGTTAGATCGTAGAAAAGCTATCTGACGATGTAGAACAACGAACACAAATATCTATTTATGGTACTAATAGATAAAGAAAATAGGTTTTGTTTTTTTCGTTTCAGTTCTAGTAGATTAAACATCGTTAACGTTTAGTACAGAGGAAATATCAGAGAAAAAAATAATTCATGTTACGGTGACGAATTTTAATTAACTGATTGCATTATGCTCGGAAATATTCATCCACCTAGTGCCAAGATTATTAACTTGTGGTTCAGCTTCATTTTGGGAAAATAGTAATTTATTCAAAAACAATAAGTTAAAAGAGCCATGCCAGTTTGCTGACTATATCAAAATGCTACAAACGTTACAGCATTTATAGTGATGAGTTACCCGTCCAGCATGATATGTTACTAGACACACTGGTCATAAGAACAGGGTATTAAATTTGGTCATACAAAATGTGAATAGTATTAATGAAAGCCGAATGTTCACTATAAATTTTGGTACATATCATGAGGTTTATGATGCATCGAACAACTGGTGGTGGATAAGTAACGCGAGTAATGTTTTCAGCTGTCTGTGTCAAGACGCGATACTGTAGGTGTACAAACGGTCAGTTTTATACGTCAAACCTAACCTGTTACTCTGTGCTTCTTGATGGAGACCTCAGGTAACAAAG